TGTGGCCCTATAATCTTGATCTAAATGTTAAAGTGTCCTTGTGCACAGCACCATCCCTCACAAAACTAGGTGTACTCTCTTATTTTTCTAAGATCTAATTTTGCAGGTTTAATAATTTTACAGCATATATTTTTATCCCAACATATATTTATATACATATCCTACTGCTTCTGTCTCTCTGGAGCACCCTAACACAAACATGTAACCAATATGGCATAGCTTAAGCCAAACCCTTCTTTAAGGTCTTGTTTTATATTACAATTAATGGGGATTTCACATAATATCCTACAACACATTTGTATCTCAAAAAACCTGTGTTTCTTCTTCAGGAAAGGGATAGGAGACAAACCCCAATTTGAGAAACACAGGCCTAGAGTAGTTTAGACCTAAAGAGGTGTTTTCATTGGCCCTGTTCATTTGTCACTTACCTACACAATTCTTACCAGTGTAATTAGCAGCATAATTATCCCAAATGCTTAGAAAGTTATTTTTCCAGATCTATACCTCATATGCAATTGGGAAATATGTTCAGTATTTGAGCTCATAGAAATCCTGAGGAAATAAATTTCTAAATCTTTAAAATAAAAATAAGCTCTACTTACCATCACTATTGGAGTCCTCAAACTGTGAGTAATTGACTGGTTTCTTATGTCTATGACCAAGACAGAAATTTTTCATTAGTACAAATGTCAATTTCTCATCTCCATTCCTTAAGCATATTAACTAGTCTTGAATAAGTGAAAATGTGTTTGAATTCTCTTAAAAATACTTAAACCTAAAACATGATTTGCATTTTACAGCAGGGATTTAGCATTAGCTGAAATAGAATAACCATACCCAACACGGAAAAAAATTAATTCAGATAACGAACAAAGTAAGAATAATCCATGTAATTCATGCTTAAAACTTATATAGTGTTTAACTCCTATTGAGCATATATGTTTCTGTTGTATGTGTTCTTTTGTGTTATCTGTGCATTTATCTTATTAGATTATAAACTTCTTGCATTGAAAGCCATTTTCTTTTTTTTAATTTCACCACAATACCAAATAATGTCTTTTATGCAATGGACATTTTAAAAACGGTGAGTGATTTTGTCCCTGCCACCTGAAACAAATCTTTATACTACTTTAGAGGGCATTAAAAAAAATGATATTCAAAGTGAAAAAAATAAAGTTATTTCCATCCTCTCTCTTCTAGGCACTATATGAAATGATCTTCTAGCTCTCATTCTATGTTCTGCCAGATGCCTGAGGTGAATAACCTAGTTTGCTAGTTGACTGCTCTTCCTAGTAAAAATTGTGTTCTATGAAAAAGAGCCTAGTATAGCTCAAAACTCAAACAACCTCACAAGTGCTTTTCCTTGAGATAACCATCACACTTCAGTATGTAAAAGTGCTTTACGTGCACTACCCAGTTCCTCACAGCATGTTAAAAAGTGTACTCATGTTACTCTCTTACTCTTTGAAGTTAAAGAATTTGAGGTCTGAATAAAATACAGAACCCCTTTAGAAATTCTGAAATTAAATAATAGTAAAATAAAATCAAGTCAATTAAAAAAAGAAGTATACTCAAGGGTTGAGCTATAATGAATATACTAATTATTATTGCTTCATCATGCATATTCTTAAGTGAAACTGAAGTATGGCAGAGTATGGCAGTAAAGAATGCAATGACTACTCGAACAGTTTGGGGCCATTGCCTTGATTTGTGCTGAGGCATGAGTAGTTTTATCATCACTTCAGTGCAAATGGCAGAACAGTGAAAAAAGCAAATAATGTCTTGGTATTATTATGAAAATAATTTTGACATTATGGACCACCTGAGAAGATTTCAGGGACCCCATAGTTCTGCAGAGCATACTCTGACAACTGCTGTTCCATAGAAAGGGATATGTCTTCGCTACTTGTATTCTTGATCCTCCAACCCCCCTGAACCTGTTCCTTTTCCTAGTCTTCCCCATCTCAGTTAATGCAAAGATCATCCATTCAGTAGCTCAGTCCAAAAATATTGTGGAGTCATCCTTGATTCTTTTTTTCCTTGCCTCCACATCCACTTCATTAGCAAGTTCTGTCACAGTACCTCCGAAATATATCTCAAATTCATCTGTTCCATTCCATCCATTGAAAATACTCTACCCCAAACCACTACACTGACGTAATAGCCTCCTAACTGGTTTTCCTGCACCCTTTCTCGTTACCCTTTCCCCCATTCATTCTTCACCATCAACCAGTGACCTTTATTAAAGCAAAATTAGATTTCTCTCCCCTACTTAAAAGCCTCTATTGATTTCCCATTGGACCTAGAATAAAATCAAAACTCCTTTCTAGGGCCTACAAGGCCCTACCTGCTCTGACACCTGCCTATTTCTCTGACCTAAGCATTCTCTACACTACTTGCTAATGCTACAGCTTTAGTCTGTCCCTCAAACATGGTCAAGCTCAGGGGCTTGGCTCCTACTCTCTCTAACTGGACTGCTCCATAACCAGGCAAATGGTCAGCTCCTTCTTGTCATTCATGCCTCCAGACATGTATTATCTCCTCAGAGTTGCACGGCCTAACTAAGCTATTTAAAATACGGCTTTCATTCTTCCCACTCTATCACATTGCAATGTTTTTTTTCGGCCCCCTAACCTCACCTCCCACTAGAATGTAACCTCCAGCATCTAGTACAGTACATAAGTAAATATACTCAATAACTTAACTAAATGAATGGCTGACCCTAGGCTTCCATGGCACTCCACTGTGGAGGAATACTGCAGTTTCAAATAGAATAATGGAAAGCACAGATGATCTGGAGCCAGATGACTTAGGGTTTCAGTATTGTCCTGCCAATTACTAGCTGTGTGACTCAGGCAAATTGGCCTTTATGCCCAGGAGTTTAAAATCGATAAAATATGAATACATGCTCTTTCTGTACCAAAGAACCATAGTGATGAGCAACTGATATAATATATAAGGCTCTCGGTGAAATGTAAAGCTCTGTCAAACGCTAACATAACAAGGTCATCTGAATGGGTTGGGTAAGAGAAACAGCAATTGCTGAGAAGGGAGGCAAAGAGAGGAAAGAAGCTGTGGTGCCAGGGCACTTCTAAGCGACAGGTGGCTCCCACCGGAGACCTGCAAGTCAACAACCCCATCGCAGCCCTCCGTCTTACTCGGCTCTTTCCCCTCGGTCCTGTGTAGAAGTTGCCTACAGCCTCTTCCTACTCTTTCTCCCTACCCCCGCGGATGTCATGGACCACCCACCTAGCAGGCCGCACCATGGTCACCTCCAAGGCTGGAAATTTGCAGCTCTCAAGTTCTCGATGGCAGCAGCAGCGGTTTCAATTCCCGCCCAAAACCAGACATTGACACTCCCTACCCCCGCGGATGTCATGGACCACCCACCTAGCAGGCCGCACCATGGTCACCTCCAGGGCTGGAAATTTGCAGCTCTCAAATTCTCGATGGCAGCAGCAGCGGTTTCAATTCCCGCCCAAAACCAGACATTGACGCTCTCCGCCCCTGCCTCCAGCCGTCCAATCAGTACCGGCCATCCTTGCAGCGGCGCATGCGCCCTGGGAAGCGCTCGCTCCTCCCGCCCTCCCCAGGCTTCACTTCCGCATCCGGTCACCACCGCCGAGTCTGTGCTTTACCGCTGCACTTTCGTCACGACCGCGGCTCTTGCACCGTCTCCGAAATACACATTAACAGTAGAAATACACCTTTTTGCACTTTTCAAATATTAAATTGAAGCGGGCTGAAAGAAGGAGTACTTGGACCGAGGATTTTTCTACAAGGTGCCAGAAAAAAGGAAAAGGTGTGGGCGAATCTGCCGTGGCGGATCTGCTGGCTGTAGAAACAAGTCGGTAAGTCGTTCCCTGTGCCCCGGCTCGGTGACAGCTCGGAGTGTGCGGGCTGCTCAGGACTTCGGAACTAGGCGAGGTGAGCCCAGAACCAAAAGCGAAGAAGCCCCTTCCGGCTGAAAGTCCCTAATGCAGGAGCTGGGCCCTCCCTGGGCTGGAGCTTCTCGGCCTGGCCCTCCGCTGTCCTCCTCCCTGACTTGTGAGCCTCGGGGCCTCCGCTGTTTGGGCTGTGGGAGTTCGGTCCAACCCGCCTCTATCCCGTTTTTATGCAGAAAACCTTCCTTGATTTCACGGCTGCTACAGCTGATGCAAGGCTTCAGGATAGATCGTTAGCCAAAAACAAAACCGGCGGGGAGAGCGGAACTGAGGTACCAGTTTATTGAAACACAAGTCTAAAAGTTGAAGCGATTGAAATCAGAGACAAGGTTTTATTGAGAGAATATTGAATCTGAACTAGATTAGACCATAAACCCGTATTTGCGCAACTTTCAATCCCCTGCTACAATGTTCCTTTACTGCCTCCGATTTTATCGCGTGTACTGAATTAGTAGCCTGTGATTTAAATACTGATATGTTCGTAGATAGCTTATTTTGTTATGACTGGCTTCCATTTTATTGATGGCCGTTTGTTTGTCGGGTGCTTCGTAATTATGATTTGGTTAATCCTTATGACAGACAGTCCTGCAAGTTACATGGCATTATCCCCAATCGACAGTTGTTCAGCAGCAAGTAAATGGCAGAGTTAGAATTTGAACCATTTGAATGACAAAGTCAAAGACCTATTCTCTTGTCACTACGCTGCCTTCTTTTAGCAAATATTTGCTTAAAGTCTGTTTGCGCCGTGTTAGGGGCTATGGTTCCACTCTAGATGAGCTACACTCTTGTCCTCAGGATACTCACAGTCTGATGAGGACATGGTAGAGATGAAGCTGGAGATGTAAACAGAGATTAGATCATGGAGGGCCTTGTAAGCCTTGCGTAGACTCTTTTGGAGGAGGTATGGCAAGGGTTAAGTGAAGAGAGTCTAAAATGAGGAGGATTAGGGAAGGTTGGCCCACTGGCAGCAAGGAAACCACTTTGGCTCTTTAATATGATCCAGACTAGAGATGATAATGCAACAGACAGAGTCAGCGAGAATGTCTCTTTTGGTATCATACTCTTCTCTTCCTCACTGGCTGAGGTCGGAACTTCCTGATTGCACATAGCTTTGGATTCTGTGCATTAGTGGACACTCAATATTGACTAACACAAAACTTTCTAATGTAGGTTCTTTGCTTTTCACTACATACACATTGCACTTAACAAAATCAGACA